TCTCTCTCTCTCTCTCTCTCTCTCTCTCTCTCTCTCTCTCTCTCTCTTTCTTTCTTTCTTTCTGGTTTTTCAGGACAAGGTTTCTCCATATAGTTTTGGTGCCTGTCCTGGAACTCACTCTGTAGACCAGGCTGGCCTCGAACTCACAGAGATCCGCTTGCCTCTGCCGCCCGAGTGCTGGGATCAGAGGCGTGCACCATTTTCTTTCTTTTTAAATCTAGTATGCGTGTATGAGTATTTGAGTACTGTGTGCGTACGTGCGAGCACAAGTGTGCAGGTCAGAGGTCAACCTCAGGGACTGGCCCTCACCTTCCTTGTTTGAGGCAGCCTCTGGTTTTCCTCGAGGCTACGTGCCTGGGAGTTTCTGGGGCTTTTCCTATCTTAGCCTCTCATCTCATCCCTGGAACAGTAGGGTTAGAAATGCATGCTGCGCGTCCAGCTTTTACGTGGCTTCTGGGCATTCCAATTCTAGTCCCCAGACTTGCGGGACTTTACACGGAGCCACGTCTCCAGTCTCTGGGCATGTCCTAGTGTCACTGACAGCTCTGTGACTGTCACGGCTAACCGGAATCTTCCATCCCAGGAGACGAACGCACTTATTACAGAGTTCATAGCTTAGGAGCGTGTCGGTTTGCCAGTTTCTCTTTCCGGCCACGGCAGGGACGCGTTATCATCCGGGCCCCATTGTTTTGTGCCACCAAGCACAGTGGCCTCAGGGACACTTGGCCAGATTTGTTTCAACTTCTTCAACCTTCTTCCGTCACTTCTGGGTACCGTTGGGATGCAGAGGATGCTCGTACCCCTCATCCCCCCTACCCCACCCCAGGAAAGTGCACGTTGCTAACACAGGTCCCTGCTGCTGAGGGAGAAATGGCCACCTCTCCCCCATCCCTCCGGCCCCTCACTGCCTAGGGATGGTGTACTTCCTCTGAGCCCTCTCTCTGAATCCTGGTGGCTCTTTAATTTCCAGCTGACTCTCACAGCCTCACCAGCTCTGTGGAGCTTTTCCAATCACTCAAGCCATGTTGCTATCTCTCCCCAGGGGACCATCTGCTCCTTCACTAGCGCTTTATGGCCAACCATCTTGTCTTTTTCTTTCATCTCGTTTTCTTTGGGTTATAAGTGCCCGCAGAGCAGAAATGCATCTTACGATGCCTCCTTTCTACTCCTATGGGGCCAAGCACGCAGATGCCATCCAATAAATTCCAACTGAATGGAAAAAAGCCAAATTATCAACTGACTAAAAGGCTAACACGAGACTTCCCCCCCCTTTGAATAACAAGACATTTAGCTTCTACCCATTAGCTTAAGAAAGAACACAAATGACATCGATGTCTAGTCATCTGGACTCGATGATGAAGCAGGTGACAAAATGTACTCACTCAGAATTCGTGCGAATCCAAAGTCACAAATCTTGATCATTCCTTGCTTGGTGATTAGGATGTTTTCGGGTTTTACGTCCCGATGAATACACTGAAAGATGATATTTGCTTAATTATCCGAGCTGTCAAAAACGACAATGAGTCAACAGTGCCTATTAATTTAGATGATGGGTAGCTTACAAAAGCTTCATTGCTTAAAATTGAAAAACAAAAAGATGGCCTTCATTTCCCTAGAAAAATTTAAGTTGTCAATTTTCATGTATGAATCTTGTCAAGTTAAAGAAAAACTTTATCTAAATGTCAGTATAAATATTATCAAAGATATGAAAACCATAATTGCTACACATCGAAGCTGTCTGTCTGGATCTTTGGAAGAAAGGAACACACATAATACAGTGAGTTTATTCACTTTCTACTGTGCCTATTTGAACTGTAATAGGAGATGGAGAAGTGTAAAGAATGGGAGACTCCAGGTGCCTTTAACAAGAATCACTGCTATTCATGAACCACAGGTCAGGTTGAATAATGCCGATCTGAGAGGTTGAAAAAAAAAAAACCACCACCAACAACAACTCAACAACATTGAGATGCTAACATAGGAGCATGAGAAAATGAGCATATTTGGAAGAGTTGGGGGAGTTCAATTTGTCTAGAAATTATACTCACCCTCCCAGTGAGAAGGCTCAGCAGGTAAAGGAACTTACTCTGCATGCCTGGCAACCCGAGTTCCATCCTTGGAACTCGTGTGATAGTGGAGGGGGAGAATCAGCATCACAGAACTGTTCTCTGGCCTCCACATGCACACTGTGGCATGCACCACCCCCATCGTGAACATATCCACAATGATTATCATACTTGGAAATGATCCAGTTTTTAATAGCGGCTATAGATTGTTCACGAGAAGTCTGCGGTATTTAAAGCTCGGGGTATAGGATATGTTCTTCCAAATGGAGATGCAATGCCAATTATGTTAAGCTCTAATCATTGTTTGCTTACACTCAGGTAAAAAGGCTGACTGGATAATCCATCCACCTAGCTATCTGGTTATTAAATAGATATTTGTTGAGCACCTTTTATATAAAAGGTCCATGCTGCCGGGCAGTGGTGGCGCATGCCTTTAATCCCAGCACTCGGGAGGCAGAGCCAGGTGGATCATTGTGAGTTCGAGGCCAGCCTGGACTACCGAGTGAGTTCCAGGAAAGGCGCAAAGCTACACAGAGAAACCCTGTCTCGAATAAACAAAACAAAAACAAAAACAAACAAAAAAAAAAGTAAGAAAAAAAAAAAAAGGTCCATGCTAAGCCTGGAAGAGGCAAAAAGATGGGTCAGCCTCAGACACTTCATCAGTAATCTGTACTCAAGAGAGGGGCTTGGTGTACAGATCAAAAGCACAAACACTCGAGGTAAACTGTATCTTCAAAAACCATAACAGGGCTGGAGAGATGGCTCCGTGGTTAGGAATACTGGTTGCTCTTCCAGAAGACCCAAGGTCAATTCCCAGCACTCACGTGGTGGCCTACAACCATGGTAACTCCAGTTGAAGGGGAGCCAAGGCCTTTTTCTGGCCTTTCCAGGCACTAGGCATGCCCGTGGTGCACAGACACACACAGGCAAAAATACCCACACACATAAAGAAAATTAAAGACTGCCTATTTCTATTATCAGCTTTAGGTGAACGTTCTGTCTCCTGGAGTACGGTGGAGAGCAACAGATTGATTCCATCCAACACCGTCTTTTCTAAAACTCAGAAGGCACAAATTGCAGCATGAAGACGAGGATTATGTAGCTTGTGAACAGCCTCCCTTTCCAGCCATAGGAAATGAAGGTATTTGCTTTGTTCTAATGGAAACTTCAGTGACTTTTGTAAAACTAAAGAGAGCTTCCCTAAGTACAGACATTCAGTTCCCTGATCTTGAGTTTTCTTTTCCAGCGATCCTAGACTGCCGTGGTCGACGTCTTGCTGGCATCAAAACTGCCCAGATGGTACACCGAATCGGTGTCTTGGCGCTCTGAGTACCCACTCAGAAGGCCTAGAGATATTTTATCAAATCTCTCATTCTAGCAAAAGCACCAGGAGCCAATTGGAGTGAGCTCCCACTGGCCCAAAATGGGTGCAGAAATGACGGTAGGCATCACAAACACCCAATCGATATGAGCCATGGATAACCCGAGACCACATTGCTCACTGAGGGAGGATGCTGAGACATGCACGTCTTCATCACTCTGAACAGTGATACATGAAGGAAGTCATCATGCATTTGCCTTATTTTCATTTGCTTATTTTTTTTTTTTTTTTTTTGCAGTTCAGGGGATTGCAACTAGCAGGTGCTTTGCACATACAACCACGCATCCTACCAGTGGGCTATATCCCCAGGCTTAAAAGACTATTTATTTGCAGCATGGTGATTGAACACAGAGCCTCGGGTATGCTAGTCAAGTGCTCTACCAAGGCGCTCTACCCCCAGCCCATACTTGTCTTCCTATATTTTACAGTAGCCAGAGTCCACGAGGGTAATCCACTTTCCATGCAGTTCCAACTACTGTTAGTACCAGGTTATTTTTGAGACAGGGTCTCATGCTACGACCTAGGCTGTCCTCCTCCAAGTCATGACCCTCCTGCCTTGGCATTCCCAGAACTGCCATCACAGGTGTGTACCACCATACAATCCCAAGGACAATGCAGAAGCGATAATAATACCCTTGGAAAACAACCATTTCTTTATCTTCAGGAATTCTGGATCCAGACAATAATGTGGAAACCATCAGGTAGAAAGATCCACAGGCAAACTGAAAATGGGGGCTGGGCGGGGGCGGTTGAGGGGCAATCAGACTAGTAACTCCTGAGCCTACCAACCAGGATGACCATCACCAAGGTCAGGGTCACCAGACATTCGACATCTCGTGATGTTGATACAGTAAGAAGCATGTGACGCTACACATCAAACATGGTTATCTAAAAACAACAGCGATGAAACTAAAGCTGGGGAGGTAGGTTCAGTGGGTTAGAGGGCTTGCTCTGTAAGCATCGGGACCTACTTGGGTCTGGATTCCCAACAAAAAGCAGGGCATGGCTGTCTGCACCTGTAATACCAGCACCGGGGGTGGGTGGAGACGGGCAGATCCAGAGAGGTTGCTGATGGACTAGCCTAATGAAACCTGCAACCTTTTGATCTCAAGGCAATAAGGCAAAACACAACAGGGAAAGACAATGTCTTGCTTTGGCTTGAACTCCTGTATGTGTACACACACACACACACACACACACACACACACACACACACACACATAAACTCTACAGTACCAACAAAGCCCAACCAAGTGCCGTGATGGGTCAGGCTATAGAAAAGATGGAAAATTATTCTAACCCAATTTAGACAATTCTCGGAATCATTAACTCTGGGGTGGAAGGAAACATTAAGCCCCGCACAAACTTTGAACTCACAAGCTCTCTGTAGCTTGGGTCTCATGGAAATGGGAGCAGGGCCGTGAGTGGTGAACTGTTTTTCCTTCCGTGTGTGGCTCGCCCTGATCTTAGCCCTCTGGCTCGCTCTTCTCTCTCTATCTGAAGAGTTGTTACGGGGACCTCCCTAACATTGGAAGGTGCTACTTACGTTATGCTTGTGGCAGAAGTTAAGGGCTTCCAGGGTTTGCCACAGCACGCTTTTGATGACGCCATCAGGAACGCTGGAGGAAAAGAACAAAAGTAGACGTGAAAACTCCTGGGATGGGGTCCCGGGCTGGAAACCGGGGCTCCACATAGTCAAAGAGCACAGCGCATGGGGTGGGGTGGGGTGGGGGTCGGGTGTCATTATCAGCCTGTACCCAGCTGAAATTCAAACACTGGAGAAGGGAGGGGGTGGGGTGGGGGGGGGGTGGGGGGGGGGGGGGGGGCTAGGATTGCTTTAAAAATTATCTACATGTTTTTTTCTGCCTACTTGTATGTTTGTGCACCACATACATGCTGGATGCCCTTGGAGGCCCGAAGAGGGTATCTGATCCCCTGGAACTGGAGTTACAGATGGTTGGTTATACGCAGTCATGTGAATGCTGGGAATCAAGCCTGGGTCCTCTGGAAGAGCAGCCTGTGCTCTTAACCACGGAGCCATCTCTCCAACCATGCTTTTTATAAAGTCTTCGTGTATATATAAAAATTACGTGTGTTTGCCTATGTTCATGTATGTGAGAGTGGACACACGTGCTATGGTGAACATGTAGAAGTCAAAGTGACGGTCTTCACCTTCTGCTTGGTTTGAGACAGGGTCTGTTCATTGCTACACTGCATATGCCAGGCTAGCTGGCTCTGGAGCTTCCAGAGAGTCTCTTGTCTCTACCTCTCCTTTTGCCTTGGAAACATTGGGATTATGGGTACATGCTACTGGGTCTTGTTTCATGTGGGTTTTGAGAATTCCATTCCTCACAATTGTATAGCAAATGCTTTACCCAGATTGCCATTTCCCTAGTTCAATTCCCCATTGAAAACAAACAAACAAACAAACAAACAAACAAACATGTTTACAGGCCTCTTCTCACGGCACAACCCTTTCATCTCAACACCCAAGAGGCGTAGGCAGGAGGAGCACTAGTTTGAAGCCAGCCTGGGCTACATAAAAAAAACAAGCAAAAAGCTAGGAATGGTAGTGCTATCCCACCACCCAGGAAGCCGAGGCTGGAGGCTCACCACAAGTTCAAGGCCAGCCTGGACTGCAGAATGAGACTCTGAAAAAAAAATGAAACCATGTCTGAGGACAGCCAGAGTTACGTAATAGAGAGATTCTGTCTCAAAAAGAAAACAACAAAAAGTGAACCTTTTTTTTTTTTTTTTTTTTTTTTTTAGACAGGGTTTTTCTCTGTGAGATCCACCTGCCTCTGCCTCCTAAATGCTGGGATTAAAGGTCTGCGCCACCACCATCCGGCTGAGCAAAGCCTTTTTAATGATAGGTATGTAATTTTATAGTTTGAAAACATCCATGAAATGATGTGTACTGCATGAAAAATTAACTAACTTTCCAACCTCAGAATAATTGCTATATTTTAGGATGGCTGTACATTCAGGCACCTCTTGATTTTCTGTCTCTGTCTCTTTCTCTTCATTTGCTTCCTGACCTTTAGCTTGAATAAATATGCTCACTGCTTTTGAATTTTAAGAGGTGTACATGATGTCTTATCCCTGACACCTTCCTGGTCACCCATATATTCTTCGCACTCCACCCCTGCCTCTTTCAGGGACATTTTATGTGCAGAGGTTTCAATGCCAACATGTACACATGCGTTCCTGTAGCTGTGGGTGGAGCTCATCTGGGTGATGATGCTCGACATCCACTTACGACAGCTGAACCAACCGTTCTACAGAGAAACGCTCCCAGGAGTTTCTGCAACTCTCCATTGGATGACACGTAAACATACCTTCTTGCTATCTTGCTTGTTCTTCTTTTTTTTTTTTTAAATTTCTATTTATTTATTTACTTTTCGAGACAGGGTCTTACTGTGTAACCTTGGCTATCCTGGAACTCACTCTGTAGACCAGGCTGGCCTCAAACTCACAAGGATCCACCAGCCTCTGCCTCCCAAGTGCTGGGATTAAAGGCGTGCGCCACACCTACCCAAGTTGTTCTCTCTCTCTCTCTCTCTCTCTCTTTCTTTCTTTCTTTCTTTCTTTCTCTTTCTTTCTCTCTTTCTCTCTCTCTCCTTCCTTCCTTCCTTCCTTCCTTCCTTCCTTCCTTCCTTCCTTCCTTCCTTCCTTCCTTCCTTTTTTCCTTCCTCTTCTCTCTCTCTCT